CTGAAGGTATCCAGCACCCACCAAGTTCCGAGAGAACGAGGGGATGTAGAGACCAGTGAGGACACCAGAGGGGGCAGCCGGGCACGGGAGGGTGGTAGAACTGCGAGCGACTGCTGGTCCTGAAGTAGGACCAGCCAGGGCAACTGGGACCGGAGCAGCAAGAGGTGTGACAACGGTGTGGTCGCGGAAGAAGCACTGGGACGCTCCAGAGTCCAGCGTAAAGGAGAGTGACGCGTCAGCAGTCATCACAGCCGCACTAGTAGCTACACAAGCACCTACACTAGAAGCACAAGCACCTACACCAGAAGCACAAACACCTACACCAGAAGCACAAGCACCTACACTAGCAACAGGCAATGGACCTAAGCTGGGTACACGTAAGTCAAGAGATTCATACGTGACAGGACAAACAACATCCATAGTCATATCAAACACACAGTAACCACTACGAGACCGACCGGGCCAGATCGCGGAACTGAGTCAGGCCCAAAACGATCACGGTAAAAGTCGTCGAGGCGGCTGTAGCAGCGCAGTGCAGAGTGGTCAAGATGCCAGCAAGTAGTGTCAGCACGAGGGCCAGTCAGGATCTGGTACTCGCAGGGTCCAACGTCGCGGCCACTACGATTACCCCTCCATCCGTTTGGGCAGATTCTCCCCGGACCACGAGGCCCCCACTGTTGCGGCGGGTGCCACTACTGCGGAGAGCGCCACGGCTGCTGGGGTCCCCACTGCTGAAACTGCTGCTGTCCCTGCCGCTGTAAGGCCCGAGTGGACGCCATGGGAAAAGGCTAGCTGGGCAACAGGCGCGAGGAACTGCTGGAGCAGGAGTGGCTGGAGCTAGGAAATGCTGGAGGTACAAACAGCTAGGACCACCAGGCTAGGAACCGCTGGTACGAGGAGCTGCTGGAGCGAGGAGTGACAAAGGACCGTAGGCGGCTGGAGCTAGAATGGCTTGTTGGTGCAACCCTACGGTTTGCACTCGGCTTGTTGTCCGTGTGCGTGAATGTGTGTGTGTAAGGAATGGTATGAGGGCATGGGATAATATATATTTCATGCTTATAATTGTGTGTGAATGTTGAGTCATGATGTCGAGTGTGTGTGTCGAGTCAATAGCGAGTTATCGCTAGACGCGTGTTACGCGGTCGTTTGTGTCTCGCACGCGGTTTCTATTTTGTCGTGCGCGGTTTCTATTTTGTCCTGTGTCGAACGTTCGGCGTGTCGCAGGTGTGTGCAGCAGACCCATCAAGAACTCAAGGATGAGTTTGTGATGAAGAGCCCGAGCCTTGGTGTCAAGCCTCAAGTGATTTCGAAGCTTGCCAAAAAGGGTACACCTCAAGATATTGAAGATAGTTACATTACTTTGTGTAGTGTAACATTTCACTTGGTGTAGGCCCTAGTGCAGGGTAGTTTCGAGACCCTTCGTGGTTGGGGACAGTGTGGCACTGTTCCACATCACTGTACCTCGGCTCTTGGGGTTTGTAGGAGCTGGGAGTCATTCCCAACTCGTAACTCTTCCTATCTTGTGTTCTAAGACTATAGTGGCTGCCATAGTACCGTTCGTTCAAACCGACGCTGTGTCGTCAATTCTTTATCAAATCGTGCAATCTAAATTGCTAATTGTAGACGACGTGAAGACGCTCCAGATCCAATTTGAATCAAGTCATTTGCAGCTGTGAGCAGAACGCTATCAACGTTTGAAGCCGCTGTGCAGAAATCCGTCTGTGCTCTCTATCTTTCGTTTTTAGGCACATTCAAGCCTATTGTGACTATAACATGGCTGGAGTTAGAACAGCTGGAGCTAGAACGGCTGGAGCTAGAACGGGTGGAGCTGAAACGGCTGGAGCTAGAACGGCTGGAGCGAGAACGGCTGGAGCTAGAACTGCTGGAGCTGAAACGGCTGGACCTAGAACGGCTGGAGCTGAAACGGCTGGAGCGAGAATGGCTGGAGCTAGAATGGCTGGAGCGAGAACGGCTGGAGCTGAAACTGCTGGAGCTAGAACGGCTGGATCTAGGCACGGCTGGTGTTCGGAGTGACTGGAGTGAGGGGCGAACGGGGCTAGGAACGTTGTCAGAATGTTGTATTTGTCTAGCCTGCAGTGGGGTACTCTATAGCGAGTACAGCCCAATCTAGGGTTTCCTATATGTACTCAACTGCTTGCTAGTGAACCCCCTCCTTTCTTCATTCTTACTTTCTACTGCTAATTCTGTCATGCTATCAGAGCAGGTCGATCCCCTTGGGTCGATCCTGTGGGTGGGCCCACCACCTCACTGCTTCCGCTGCTACTGCTACTCTGTGTGTTGCACGCCCCGTGGCGTGCGACGGATTTTTCATCCCGCCGCGCGCTCGGAGCGTGCGGCGGTTTTCTGCCCGCCGTGCGCCCCGAGGCGCGCGGCGGTTTTCTGCCCGCCGTGCGCCCCGAGGCGCGCGGCGGCTTTCTGCCCCGTCACTCCGCGCGTCGCTCCCGGGAGGCGCTGCGACGGGCGACGGGGACCCGCGCGTCGCCCCCCGTACGGGCTGTACGGGCTGCGCCAGGCCCGCGCGCGGCCCGTACGGGCTGCGCCAGGCCCGCGCGCGGCCCGTACGGGCAGCGCCAGGCCCGCGCGCGGCCCGTACGGACTGCGCCAGGCCAGGGCGCGCCTCGGGCCGCCCGCACGCGGTTCGTACGGGCTGCGCCAGGCCCGTGGGCGCCCTGTTTTCTCTGCCCCTGCGCTGCCCGCTGTCCCCCGTGCTTCTGACGGCGCCCCACCCCTGCTGCTGCCCGTTCTCCTGAATTAGGGTTTGGGGGTGGGGGGTATGGGGGTGCAGTTTCTGTGCGTCGTCCCCTACTCCTCCTCCTCCTCCGTCTCCCAGTGCTGCAGCTGCCGCTGAGGGGGGTGGGTGTGTGGGAGCCGAAGGAGTGGTACTAGGGGGGTGACGTGCAAGTGGAGTTAGGAGTGAAGCAGTGGGTGTGTGGGGGGTGTGTGGGACAGTTGGAGGAGATTGAGCGGAGGCTGCTGTCTTGTCACCTGTAGTCCGGGGCGCACTGTCCTGGTAGCCCAGAGAGTCTGCTGCGCCTGTCGCCCGAGGGTCCGTTGCTCCTGTAGCTCGTCGTAGCCCGTGAGCCAGTTACTCCAGTAGTCCGGGGCGCACTGTCCCGGTAGCCACTGTGCCAGCAGCTCCTGTTGCCCGTGTGTCTGCAGCTTCAGCCGCCGTCTCTCATCTTCTCTCCTCTCACAGTCCCTCCTCCTCCTCACTTGCCCGCTGTGATTACCTCTAGCTTTGCTTCTTATTGTGAACCCCTGCTATACCTGCTCATTGTGCTGATTACACCCCACTTTGGCTATGGGGGTGTGTCAGAATGTTGTATTTGTCTAGCCTGCAGTGGGGTACTCTATAGCGAGTACAGCCCAATCTAGGGTTTCCTATATGTACTCAACTGCTTGCTAGTGAACCCCCTCCTTTCTTCATTCTTACTTTCTACTGCTAATTCTGTCAAACGTCTGTACCGTCGGGTTACTAACCCTAATCCGCGCCAGTAGGAGTAACTGCGGCTGCCAGCCGCCACTAGAGATGCCTATGGTAGTAGGCGTGTTGTTGAAGTGGCGGCTGTGGTGCGCTGTGGCGGCTGGGAAAGGGCTGTAGGCAGCTGGGAAGGCCTGTGAGCGGCTGGGAAGGCCTGTGGGTGGCTGTCAAGGCCTGTGGGCGGCTGGGAAGGCCTGTGGGCGGCTGGGAAGGCGCGCGCTGCTCTACTGGGTGGCGAGCACTGTTTTGCAGGGGCGCGCTGCTCTGCAGGGGCACGTGCTGCTCTGCAGGGGCGCGCGCTGCTCTGCAGGGGCGCGCGCTGCTCTGCTGGGTGGCGCGCGCTACTCTGCAGGGGCGGGCGCTGCTCTGCAGGGTGGTGCGGGCTGTTCTGCAGGGTAGGTTACTACGGAGCGTCGGAGCGATTACGGAGCGACAGAGCGACTACGGAGCGACGGAGCGATTACAGAGCGAAGGAGCGGTGGAGCGGTACTAGGCTAGGAGCGTACCTACTCATGATACAATCTCAAGGGTGATGCATAGCGGAATGATCAACTAGAAAGAGGATGGGGTACAAATATGCAAACCTAAAAGCTGTACTCCTTAGAAGGCACCTCTCTACAGCCTATCACAATTATTACATTTTGACACATTTCTGCAGTGCAACCACCAAAACCCTGTAGAGCGGCCAATAGCTAGTAGTAACCTAGAGTTATAGAAATTGGTTCGGAAAGGTAAAGGTCTACGATCCAATTCCTATTGTGTGGTGTTTGGTTGAGTTTCATTGCAATATTATCAGGGTTCTTTTTATAATAACCTTGAAAAATCAGGTTTTTTCTTATACGAAGGCTGTCAATCAGGCATCATTTCTACAGGGACCCTGATGGATCAGGGCTCCTAAAATTGAATATAAGGCCCTGCCAGGGTAGTACAGTATAGATATATAATAATTAGACAACATTCATCTGATAATGAGGACCCTCATGCAGATTGACAACTCGTACCAACTAAGAAGCCACATTTATCCAAGGTCATAGTTACGGCACACAAATAAACCTGGAGCCTACACTCCCAACACACTTCTTCTCATTGTACATGTAGTATTTTGAAATGGCTCCATTCTGAGCTCCACCATAGAAGCTGTATGCGCCTGAGCACGTCAATGATGGTGATACTGGTTTCTGCCTACCCTTCTTGCACACGCCGACATCGAATGACCAATACTCTGCTCGTAGGCAAATCTGCAGTCACGCCGATTACAAACACAAGGAGTGCAAGGAACATATCATGAGGGAGTAAAAGGAAGAGATTGGCACAAAAAGAAAAGCATTTCTTATAAATGATTAAGGGCAAATAGTTGGAACAAAGGGCTTACGAATCTTGCAGCAAGAGCACATGAGGGACGACCTTTGCACCCTCACCCATCAAACACCCCTTCATTCCACAGCTTTCCCACCACCCTTTTCTCCCATCCCTTGCCCCCCATCCTTCCTGGTCCATTTTACCCTCCACCACACACCTGCACGCCAGTGTTGCTTCCAACAGCAGAGGCGGTGGTCGGGATGACATCGGAGCAGATGAGGCCGGGATTGTTGCGGTACAGCTCAGCCCAGCGCATGGCATTCACCTCCGCAGTCCCAGTGGGGTCGCCCTCACTCCCCTCCACCTGCCGCAGCAGGCGCTCGCACGTGTCCTGTGGTGTGAGCACGCCGTATCGCGAGCACTGAGGGACGGTGAAAGCGAAGGTGGCGTTGCGCTCAACGCACAGAGAGCGGCCCGCCTTGATGGGCCCAGAGCAGTTGAGGCCGGGATTGAGAGCAGTGAGGTTGCTGCTGGTGAAGCCCAGCTGCGTGCTGATGGACCAGCATGTGTCGCTCTGAAGGGTTGAAGAATGGGAGAAAAGGCACAGATGCCTACGGTGAATGGAGTATGGCTGTGATGATAAAGACTGCCTTGTTGAGCTGATGCGAAACAGAGGGGAATGATGAATAGGAATAAAGCTCATGGAGAGGGTGTAAAAGATAGCTTTAGAGGTTTGGAAAACAGGAGAGAAGGTATAATACATAAGGCATGAAGGTGAAAGCAGGACGGCTGTACTTCATGCAGTGCTGAGTAGGCTGGCTGGGTTGCTAGAATATTATTGATTGGCCAAGTAGAACGAAGTGAGACGATCTAGGAAGAGAGGAATGATTTGGTGAAATATACAAGATGGAAGAACAACAAGGGCTAAAGCTCACGCTGATGGTGTAGAAGAATGCGGTGCAGGGAATGAGGAGAGGATTCCCCAGCTGAAGCACCACGTTGCGAGGCAAAGGATGACTGCAGTCGATGGCCTGTGATGAGGAGCAAAAACGTCATAAAATTTGAAGTATAGCCAAGTTAAGCATTCCGTGGGGCTACTGCGTCCATACAAATTAGCCAATAACTTTGATAGGTTCCCCTGCACTTTGCAGTTTATGCTTTCCTGCTCTAACACCATCTCTGCATGCATCTCCACTCTTCCAGACTAGCCATCTCTACTGCTCACCGCATTATTATGCATGAATTGTGCAAGTGAGAGGCCCACAAGAGGGAGGACATCAGTGCACCACCAGTTGCTGCCACTCACTGCCAGAGTGCTGGCCGTGGTGTTGGCTGAAGAGAGATGATGAGATCGAAAGAAGGAAAACACACCACATAGAGGGGCTTAACTGAAAACAAAGTCAATAGTTTTTGAGTACTGATGAAACTGCAGACAATCGAACCACAACATTATTTGGCCGTTCAGTTCGACATCAAACCGGTTCGGTTCGGTAATTTCCTCATGGCTACCCGAGATCACAAGCAGTTTGAGAGGGTCGTGATGATCCCAACATTTGGTACAATAATAACTGAAAAAAGTAGTGACCATCTTGCAAGCAAGGCCAAAGCAGCAGCACCTGGGTCGCAGGTGGGGAAGTTGTCAATGGTTGTGCTTTCAATGTAGTTAGGAGGGCAGATGCACGAGTAAGAGCCCTTGCCGTCGTTGATGCATGTGCCCACATAGCAGGGGTTCTTCAAGTCAGACCCACACACGTCCACTGGCAAGCGATACGAAGCACAATTGTGGAGCACAGGGATGAGGCGAGAAGAGATATGCATGTGTTAAGAGCAACGGGAAGACTGGGTGGAGGGAGATGGGGGAGATTTAGATGACAGAGGCTTGGTTAAAGAAAATATTGATGAACAAATCAGACCACTGTTTTGACAACGGCCATGGATGAACATCATTGTTTGAGAACCAAACCACTTACAATAGGCATATGTTTGAGAGCCATATCCATTTGCAACTTGAACAAATCGCTGCCTGGCTTCATTCGGAAGCGAGCAGTTACACGAGTTGGTGTTACTGCGCAGGTTAGCTCGGCATGTGAACCGCCCACACGGATTCATGCTGGGCTGCAGGTCGCCGTCACCCTTGAAGCTCCTCTGGCCGCACGGGTCCTTGGAAACTGAAGGTTGGTACAAACGAGAACAGGGGTAGTAGAAATGGGTGCAATTGCAGTATCATTGAAAAAGACCGCGGGCAGGAATGAGCAAATTTAACCAAGGGAGAGGTGCAAGAAACGTGAGTTGGAGATTGACCATTTTACAAACTGGAGACAGCACTGGCTCACACTCCCTTCTCTCGGTTAACCATCTCTCCACTCCACCCTACTCCATGGCTTTGCTTTGCAGCTTGTTCTGTGTCTTTCACCCTGGAACAGTGATAATTGACCCTGTCATGTACTCGAACGGGTGAGGAGATTGAGATACGGAGAGAACGATGGGGGAAGTTGCCTCACTCAAGACCATTAGGTAGATGCCTCACTCTTGACAATGGGGTAGATGCCAGGCAGAACGTTGATGCCACACACGCCATCACCTCCCTGAATGTCCATGCGCATATGGCCCCTGTCACCCCACTCCACTCCCCACGAGTTGCGGATAATCCAAAATGGAGGCGCAATGCGATTTTGGCTGCCGTCATTTCTGAAGACGAAGTAGCCAACAACGAGTACAGCGTGGTTCAGTCTGCCGGTGTAGCAGCCAGGATCTTGGTACTTTAAGGTCTGAAGAGAAAGGGGGACATCACAACAAAGATGGGAATGGGTATTTAAAAAATGTACAGATTGATGTGGGTAACAACTTTTGTAAAACAATTTTCAACGTATGCACATCATAAAGGGTACATGCAGGCACCACCCACCCCGTCATATTGCGCGAACTCTCGAGCAGAAGCCTCTATGTGAACCACCACTGGCTGTCGTCGAACTGCCAGCATGAGGCCCACAAACCCCTTGAACCGAGTGCGCTCAAATGCGTGAACAGAGTACTTCTTATTCTGAATGTTGACAGCTCAAAGGGAATTTCGCAACATGTTGGAAGGAAGAGAAATAAACACATTAAGAGACCTCAACAGAAAGAGAACAACATTTGCTTGCTGAAAATGCATGCAACAAGTAAAGGCTAACCTGGTTTAACATAGCCAATTCTAGCAAGCAGTACAACATTGGGGTGCATAGTAAGGTGGTTACAACATACAGAATATTCTCATTTAACTTGAAATGTGCTTGTGTTATGGAACCTCAAACATGGGTTCTAACATGAGCAGGAGTCATAATGTGTTTCTAGATATATTGCAAATAGTGTTCAAGGTTGTATTGCGAATATAAACCGAATACACTCAGCTTTCAATTTTCTATTTTTTTAAAATATTCATCAGAGTTCTAGTCATCCCTCACCGAATCGTTTAGGTCTGGAGCGTGAAAGCTTTATCTCCTCAGCCCACGGTGTGCACAAATCCCTCGATCACTCGAGCATGTCAATAATACTTGATGAACGGATACATGCAAATAGCATGCTGCGACAAATTCGTATAAACATTTGACTTTTCAGTCGAGCCTTGAATACCACGCGAATACCGAGTTGTTTGTTTACAGGCTCAGTCAGCCTTCTCTCCGTTCGTCGTGGTAGAATCTGTTTGTCGCTTGCATGAATAAATTGGGCCTTTTGGCTCGACCAATCCATTTTAGCATATCCAACTTCGAGATAAAATTATGCTTTAGAGAAATTTGTTCAGCTGTGTTAGAGATTGCAACCGCTGACGACAGTGACTGCTGCAACGACTAAATCTAGAACTCAGAGAAGAGTCTTTGTGTCACAAGTTGTAGTGTCGTTGCAACTCATCTCAGCATCAGGCACACTACTCAGAGTTCTCAATTCTCTCACAAACATCTATTCTTTCTAGCCTTCTGCTCTTGCACCACACTACTCACAGGTGCGCCAGCCTTTGTGATTCCGCCATTGGGCAGCGTGAGAAGCGTTTCAAGCGCCTCAGTGGGGGAGCCCCCCGTGCTGCACTTGTCAGCCTCGGAGGTGAGCCCCATGGCTGCAAAGAGCGACTCCACTGACAGCTGCGGCGCCTCCCCATTCATTGCAATGCCGTATGCCGCTTCCACACTCGCCACCAGCGCAAACGCCCAACAAGCATCTGGGTATGTGAAACACAGTCTCGTGAATAAACAAAGTGGATCCGAAGAGTGTTGTATCAAAGTGGTGAATAACCAGAGTGGATCCTAAGCACGTATTGAGGCGAGTATTGTGAGATGGCTGGCTGAAACATGTGGTCAGCAGCAGAGCAGAAGGCGGAGAACAAGCAGATTGTAGCCAACACACAACGCACCAGCCAAGCTACTGGCTCCAACATGCTTCGCCATTCATTTCACTCACTGCAGTCTTTCTGGTCCTTGACGGGCCAGCCGAGGAAGGGCACGGAGTCCCAGGAGTGGAAGTCGCTGACGACCCACGAGTCCTGCTTGCTGGGCGCCACTCGGTAGTCCGCACTCACGTAGCGCGGGAAGGGGCTGGCCCACGCTGGCATGTACGTGTTCGTTAATAGCTGCAGGCCATAGGCTGGGATGCTCTCAGGTGTTGCATGATGGGGGAATGAATGGGATGTCATCAAGACAGGTTGTGCCAAGAGCAATCTGAATTGGGACAATCAATCATAAGTACAGTCAAGTTTTCGTTTCCCATACTTTGGTGGGCTGCATCTCTTATCTCATAAGATCCAGTTGTTGGTTGATTGCCATTTCACATCTATCTAACAGGCACTACGTTCCACCCTGCTCCATGTATTCAGTGCTGATGCACCTGTTTGATACCCCCTTCGGCAACTGTATTGTATTTAGGCACCTCCCCCAATTCGGTACACCGTAACGTTGCTCAGATTCTGTTTTTAAAATTCCTTTTCAGTTGTTTTTAGATAAGGTATATTGTAAACATGATCTTGGGATGTTGGTTGGTGCACATTACACCATTTACCACCTTGACTGAATATTCATACTCGTACCTTTTCTATCACACGCATGTTATATCACAGGGGCCAATATATGGAAGACAAGGTAGAGGGACATGGAGAGCGGAGTGAAGAATGCAGGATACAAACGAGATGATCAAGCACAAGCATGGGAAACAAATTCTCACCTGGTGTACGCGTGACTGATCGGGGAGAAGCAGGAAGGCCTGGGAAAGGACAAAGAAATTGGAGAAAATAAAAGGTTTTGTGTTTAGGCCCTAACCACTAACCAATTCCCAGTTAAACTCATTCGATTTTCAAAATGCTCGACAAAAGGGCGAGTAACGAGTCAGGTCAGAGTACAAAGAAAAAACTTGGTCCAGCTTTACTTGACTACTCAAGACTTGATCGACTCAGCATAAAAGCGAGTCGAGTGAAACTTGACTCGTGTAGGTGTTCTGCTCATGTCTATGCTAACCTGTGTCCACTATAGATTCAAGAATGACGTGCTTCTGAAACGGCTTCACAGTGGTGGAGGCCACGAAGCCAAAGAAGAAGGCGTGCTGCTCGGGCCCACCCTGCAGCACCTCACACAGTGCCAGCCTCCTCTCCAGCACCGCCTCCCGCGGCTTCTCCTTCGATTCAGCCAGGAAGACCTGGATGGTGCCGGGATCCCCCGGCTCATAGTCCACCCATGCTGTGTATGCCTTCCTGCTGCTTAGAGGGAATGGTGACGGCACAGCGGCTAGCGACTTGTCTTCGCCTCGAATGTTCAGCCCCACATGCTGGCTGCTCATGTCTGTTGAGATGAACAAACAGGAATGGTGGAAATAACAGTGAAATGAGTACAAGTACCTAACCCTAGAATTGTGTACCCCCTATAGACTAACCCACTGTAGCCTAAAAAAGCACAACATATATAATGTTTGACACACCCCCATAGGCGAAGTGGGGAGAACTAGGGGTCACAAGACCAGTCAAGTAAAGCAAGGCAAAGCAAGCTCAGGGTGGATCACAAAGTCACCACACATTCCGAGCACAAGTTCAAGGCCACAAGGCCAGTTCACATGTAGGAGTACATATATATATATAAGGCTAGACAAGCAAGAGCAGGTACATATATATGTAACAGTACAACCAAGGTCAAGAGGTGAGCAAGTGAGGCAAGACAGGCACAAGACCCAGCTGGGTACAGAAGCGCTGATGATCACAAGGCGCAAGTGCCTTGGTGAAGACATCAGCAGTGTTGGCCTCAGAGGCCACGTACGTAAGCCGCAACTGACCACGCTGCTGTAGCTCACGAGCAAGGAAGTAGCGGAGAGCAATGTGCTTTGTTCTGTGCTCCAGTCTCTGCTCTCGACACAAGGCCAGCATGGCCTTGTTGTCTACGTACAGGACTGGAGGAGAACGAGGCGGCTCTCCAAGGTCGGTCAGCAGGTAGGTAAGCCAGCGAAGCTCCTGAGCAGCCATGGCCCCTGCGTAGATCTCAGCCTCACAACTGGAGCCGAGAACAGAAGACGAGCGAGTAGCCCGCCACGAAACAGAGCCGGAACCAAGGCTGAAGGTGTAACCCTGTGACGACCGCTGCGTAGCCTGGTCGTCAGCCCAAGAAGCGTCTGCGTGACCAGTGAGGACCACTGGACTCCGCCCTCCAAGCACTAGCCCCATGCCCGACGTACTGCACAAGTAGCGCAACACCCTCTTCGCTGCAGCCATGTGCTCTGGTCGGTGTCTCCCAGGAGCAACATAGCGTGCGAGAATGCTAAGAGGGTATGCAAGGTCAGGTCGCGTGCAGGTCATCAGGTACATGAGGCAGCCAACAAGCTCTGGGTACGGGCCACTCGACTCTACGGACTCATCCGAAGGCAGAGCTGAGAGCGAGTGGCGAGTAGGCAGAGGAGTGGCCTGAGGCGAGGAGTACGTGAAGCCGAAGCGCTGAAGGACCTGCTGCACCATGTGTGACTGAGTCAGGGTGATGGTGCGGCGTGCTCTGTCCCGGGTGATCTGCAAGCCAAGGTAGCTGCGCAGTTCACCCAGGTCTGTGCACGAGTGTCTCTTCTGCAGCTCGGACTTCACGTAGGCGAGTCCAGCAGTGTCAGCTGTGGCAAAGACCAAGTCGTCGACGTACACGAGGATGTAGAACGGCGGCAGAGAAGTGTCGGTGCGTAGAAACAGCGACGGGTCTGCAGTAGAGGGAGCAAACCCAAGAGCCGCAAGCGTAGTCCTCAGTGTGTCGTGCCACTCACGCGGTGCCTGGCGGAGACCGTAGACTGGCCGCCGGAGGCTCCACTGGGTGCCAGGAGGAAAAGTCCCAGTGAAGCCAAGTGGGCGGCGCAGCCAGATCTCCTCGTGCAGGCTGCCCTGTAGGAAAGCAGTGCTGAAGTCAAGAGAGTGTAGCTCGTAGTCACGGTGAGCAGCTACGTGCAGCAGTACCCGAAGAGTGGTCATCTTCGGGGTGGGAGAGAAGGTCTGAAAGTAGTCAACTCCCTGCCGCTGACTGAAGCCACGAGCCACGTAACGCGCCTTGAAGACAGGCGGAGAACCCGGTGGCCGCTTCACCCTGAAAATCCACATGCCACTGACGATGTTCGCCCCAGGAGGGGGGACAGCGTCAACGTAGGTGCCTGTGGACTTCCAGGAAGCCATCTCTGCATCCATAGCTGCCTGCCACTGAGAAGAGTAGGGACCCTCTATCGCCTCCGCGTAAGAGCGCGGAGTCGGGATGTCAAGTGCATCCGGGTCTCCCTCAGGGGTAAGCAGTACGGACACGAGATGAGGTGAAGCAGCAGCCAAGCACTGGAACTCCTCCTGCCTGTCCTCAAGGACGTCCGTGCCAAGGGCACACTCACCCCCGACGGACGGAGGACAGACAGACTCAGACTCAGTGACAAGACTAGCAGCGTAGTCTAGACGACAGCGAGAGGCAAAGTCGACGAGCTCAGTAACTAGGGCAGACGCAGCAGTGGACTCAAAGGAAGGGTCAGTGACAACAGTAGCAAGGAGACGCGTGACAGTAGGACTGGCAGCACGAAGAGAGTCCGACTCCGGGTCAGGAAGAGCAGGAAGAGAGGACTCAGGAGGAGAAGGCAAAGGGGCACGCAGAGGAGTAGTGGACGGACGCAGAGACATCCGGTGCGTGCCAGGGACAGGAGGAGAACGCTGACGCGAACCACGACCACTAGTGCGAGCAGCACGGACAGGCGACGCAGGGCGAGACGCAGGCTCACGACGCTCAGCAAGACCTCCAGTAGGACCAGTGTAGGGAGAAGGAGCAGGCAGTGGGGAGGCGGGCTGTAACTGTAACTGTGACTGGACAGGCTGTGGACACTCGAAGGGAGGAGGAGGACCGGGAGAAGGCGGGAGACCAAGAACCTGCTGAAGGAGCGGAACGAAGTACGGCCGGTGTCGGGCAGCGACTCCAGAACCAGCAGAGACACCAGCACCAGGGTCCTCAGCAACAGCAGCAGCTCCAACTCCCGGGTCCTCAGCACCAGCAGCAGCTCCAACGCCCGACTCCACAGCACCAGCAACAGCACCAGCGCCAGGGTCCTCAGAACCAGCAGTAGCTCCAACGCCCGGGTCCGCAGTACCAGCAGCAGCTCCAACGCCCGGGTCCTCAGCACCAGCAGCAGCTCCAACGCCCGGGTCCTCAGCACCAGCAGCAGCTCCAACGGCAGCAGCGGGGTCCGCGACACCAGGCGCGCCACTCCGAAGAGTGCAGCGGCGCACGTACCACTCACGGATCCGCTCACGGGAGGGGAGCTCCCGGCTAGGAGGAGAAGCACTAGCACCAGTCCGAGTAGTACGCCTGGCCCCAGAGGTACCTCTCCTGAGGCTGCAGTACTGTAAGTACCACTCACGCAGCTGCTCCGAGGAGAGGGCTCCTCCAGGTGTAGGACTCTCAGGCTCAGGACCTCCAGACTCAGAACCCCCAGACTCCGGACTCTGCGGCTCAGCCTCCCCAGGCTCAGCACCCCCAGGCTCAGTACCCCCAAGCTCCGCACCCCCAGGCTCAGCACCCCCAGGCTCAGTACCCCAAAGCTCCGCACCCCCAGGCTCAGCACCCCCAGGCTCCGCACCCCCAGGCTCCGCACCCCCAGGCTCAGCACCCGCAGCAGGACGAGAGTCGACAGCTACCTCAACAGGCTCAACCGGGTCTACCTGAGACACACCTGAGGGAGCGGCACCCTGAGGGGGGAGGGGGTCTACGACAGCACCACCTGGCGCGAGGAAGAGAGGCGGGGGGGGGAGCGGGGCAGTGCGGTAGGGGAAGAGGCGGTAGTAGGGGACGGACTCGTCAAAAGTGACGTCCTGAGAGGGCAAGACTCGGCGCGAGGTGGCGTGGTAAAACTGCCAACCAGGCGCGTCCGGGACAAAGCCGAGGAAGACGCAGGGAACAGCACGGGAGGAGAGCTTGTCCGCAGACGTATCGCGGACAAAAGCTCGAGATCCCCAGACCCGGAAACGCGACGCATCGCCAACCTCCCCCGTCCACAGCAGTGTGGGCCAGGTCTCCGGCAAGGAGACACGGGGCCAGAGGTTGAGCTGATGCGCAGCGTACCGGACCGCAAACGGCCACAGAAAGTGGGGGGCAGCCGCATGGATCAAGGAGGTACGGGCGACCTCCATGACCAGGCCAATGCGGGGCTCTGCAACCCCATTCTGCTGTGGAGAGGCCGGAAGCTTGAACGACTGCTCAATGCCGTGCTCAGCACAGTATGCTGCCAAGAGGTCGGAGGAGAACTCACCACCTCTGTCAGAGTGCAAGCGCAGGACAGGAAAGTCCGAGTGAAAACGCTCGCTGAGCTGGAGACGGGCTCTGCGGATCCAAGGGATCAAGACATCAGGGACCTCACCCTTGGTGCGCAAGGGGAAGACCATGGTGTAGCGCGAGTAGTCGTCAACAACTATCAGGAAGTACCTCTCCTGACCCTGACCACGGACGCGGGCTGGGCCCCACACGTCCATGTGGAGCGTCTGCAAGGGAGCAGTAGTCGGGGGAAACGAGGAGGAGTGAGGAGCGGCGCGCTGCCGCCCCTCGACACAGGGAAGGCAGGGAGGAGCGGGCGAGGGCGGGAGGGGAGGGAGGACCCTGGGAAGACCAGAGACAAGGTACCGGGAGTGCATGGCACGAAGGCGCTGCACAGACGGGTGACCAAGTCGGTGGTGCCAGAGGACAGTCTCGTGCGCCAGAGAGCGACACGAGCAGGGGGCAGAGAGCTGACCTGACGCGGACGCAGACGCAGACGCAGCGACCTGAGGGGACTCAGTGGTCAGTGTGTACAGGTCCGACCCCGGCTGCCGTGTGAAGGTAGCCAAGTGGCGGCCCGTACGAGCACACGTGCAGTGTGTCACGCGCTCGTAGGCAGGGGTGAACTGGTGAACACCCCCGTCCTGGAGTGCACAACCTGCCACCAAGTTCGTAGAGAACGAGGGGAGGTGGAGACCTCACAGTGTGCCCGACGGGACCGCAGGACAGGGAAGGACAGTGGAGGAGGTCGCAATGACCGGACCCCCAGAGGGGTCAGCGAGGGAGACAGCAACTGGCCGAGTAAGCGGCTCAAGGGCAGTGCGGTCACGAAAGAAGCAGCGAGAAGCACCTGAGTCCAGCGTGAAGGTGTGCAGTGCTGCAGTCGACTCAGTACCAGGGGGGGCAGACGTACAAGCACCTAGAGCAGCTGCCTCACCAGCACCTGGGGTAGCAGACACGTGAGTACCTGGAGGGGCAGACGCACTAGTCCTAATGCCCGGGTCGGGCGGCACACACAGGTACTCAGCACCCTCTCCACTAGTAGACATCACATACATAGCAGTTAGAATAGCATCAAAGTCTAGAGCATAGATATCAATCCCCTTCTTCAGGAGATCAACCCAGCGGGGCAGCTCAGTGGCTTGAGGGAACTGAACACGCCAAGCGTCGTTGAGACGAGCGAAGCAGCGCTGTGTGGCGTGCGGTCCCCCACACGGCTGACCAGTGCGGTCACCAGTGCGAATGACGTACGTGCAGCTAAAGCCACCCCCCCCCCCCCCCGTGCAGAGAGTACCACTCACGGACCTCCTGGGGCGACGGAGTGTGCTGCTGGCCCTGGCCACCGCCAGCGCCTCCACGACCACCACCGCCGCTGCCACCTCCTCGACCACCCCAACCCCTGCCGCCGCCGCGTCCACTGCCACCCCCACCACCGCCTCCGCCCCTGCCACCTCCCCCGCCGCTGCCGCCACCACCCCCACCGCTGCCACTAGCCCCTCCAGTCGCGCCACCACCCCCACCACCGCCACCGCCCCCACCACCGCCTCCCCCGCTGTCACCGCCACCGCCCTTGCCCCCTTTGCCCTTGCCGCTGCGGTGCCCGCTCAAAGCAGACGCAGTCACGACCTTCTCAGCACCAAGGAGGTCGACAGCAGCAGCAGAGGCGACAGAGGGAAGAAGGGGGGAAGGAGAACACCCCTCAAAGAACGGGGTACGGGGGTCGCCACGAGAGGCACCTACAGCGACTATGCTAGCCTCAGCTGCAAGGAGTTCCTTCTCGAGGAGGGCAATGGTGAGCTCAGTGGGGCAGCGAGCTAGGAAGTGGTCCCTGACTGAGCGCAGAGTGTCAGGGAGGCGGGTGACTAGGTGGTAGAGAGTGAGCCAGAGCGGGGGTGGGTTCTTGGCAAGGAACTCATCAGGCATGGCGGCGCGGAAGCGAGCTTCACTAGTGCGGAGGTGCGTAATGAGGTCAGCGACTGTGTGGAAAGAGGCTAAGTCGGGGAACAGGTAGGGAAGAGAGAGACGGCCTAGTGCGGCAGAGGCCGGTGAGGAGTAGCGGGCAACGACAGCAGTGTACAGTGCCTGTGCAGTCTTGTGCTGCCCAAAGTGCTCGCGCTCATCTATCGGCAGGGAGTTGCGAATAGCGAAGCGAGCGTGGGCGTCACGAGTCTGCCACTGTGAGCGGGTGGTGCTGTCAGCAGTAGCAGCAGGAGCAGTAGCATGGCCTAGGGCGTGATCGTACAGTGAGATGTCCTCCTTGGCAGTGAGCTGTAGGAAGAGGTGTAGGTCATCTAGCCAGGTTTCGAACCTCACTGGGCGGCCCTCAGTATCGAAAGCTAGCACAGGAGGGCTAGCCATAGCAGTAGTAGGAGTAACAGTAGAGTAGCAGTAATAGCAGTAGGTGCACCCCAGAAACAGTAGGCAGTGCGACTCAGGTAGGGCGGCTCCATCCAGTACGGGCGGCGCGGCTCGGTTCAGGTAGGGCGGCGCGGCTCGGTTAGGGCGGCGCGACTCGATTCGGCCTGGGCGGCTCGGTTCGGGCGGCTCGGTTCGGGCTGGGCGGCTCGGTTCGGGCTGGGCAGCTCGGTTCGTGCGGCTCGTTCTGGCGGGGCCGTTCAGGGCCTCTAAGGGCGAGCGCGGGGCCGTTCGAGGCCTCTAGGGGCGAGCGCGGGGCCGTAAGGGGCCGCTAAAGGCGAGCGCGGGGCCGTTCGGGGCTTGTAGGGGCGAGCGCGAGGCCTTAAGGGGCCGCTAAGGGCGAGCGCGGGGCCGACGGGGGGCCTCTAGGGAGGTGAGCGCGAGGCCGACGGGGCCGTTAGGGGCGATCGCGGGGCCGACGGGGTCGCTAAGGGGCTAGCGCGTGGGCCGACGGGGCCTTAAGGGGCGGCGCGTAGGTCGCTAAGGGGCGGGTCGCGGGGCCTTAGTGGGCCGTGAAGCATGAGGCGCCCTAGGGCGTAGTAGGTAGGTAGGTAGGTAGGTAGTGGTGGGCCCTAAAAACGGTCCTAGTGAAGGACCTGCTCTATACCATGTTGAGATGAACAAACAGGAATGGTGGAAATAACAGTGAAATGAGTACAAGTACCTAACCCTAGAATTGTGTACCCCCTATAGACTAACCCACTGTAGCCTAAACAAGCACAACATATATAATGTTTGACAATGTCGCCGTGCTGCTTGTCCTGCCGAGTGTCAAACTCAACTGCCACACTCCGATTGTCCATTCCACCGTACCTCACACCGGCGCCGCTCCCCACCCGGTTGGTTGCCGAGACAACAAAGGCAAAGCCGTTGAAGCCCACGCGGCCGGATTGAGGCGAGAGGGAGAAGGTGAAGTTGGCATGGAAGGCGAGCTGCAGTCCACACCCCGACAGCCCCTGCCCTGCCTCGTACACAAACAGAGTCACCGGAGCTGTGGTGAAGTTTCCCCTCGTCTCCCGCTGCGTCCCCTTGGTGAGCACAGATGCTGGCGGGAGAACCGGGTGGCTGCTTGAGTAATTCCTGTTCTGGCCTGCACAAACAAAAGTAACGGACGGGCGGACAGGAGTGGGATATGGAGAGCATGAGAGGGTGAGATGAGATGCAAGGCTTGCAAAATAAAAGAAGGTCGAACAAATTTCTAACCAATGGATGGACGTCCCACCATTCCATCAACTTCAAGTGGTGCCCCCTACCTTGAGAAACACAGTCAATGTCTCCAAAGCGCACAAATCCCGCATCGCACAGACATGTGGGTGCCAAACTAGGCCCCTGTGGATAGCACACCCCATGTCCACCACACGCAGCAGCACCACCAGCTACAGAGGAGACGCCACAGAATGCATTGCATGCTGCCTCCTGCCGCTGCGGCACCAAGACACAGCCCAGTGGCAGCGTAAAGCAGTTGGCATCAAAAGAAAGTGGCAGGCATGCCCCGTCGGGCAGAGGGCCTGAGAGGAAGTTGCTCGAGAGATCCAGGGTGCGCACAGCAAGAGGCTTCAGTGGGCGGCCGGTAAGGTAGTTGTGGGAGAGTTCGCTGAAGGGGGGAGTTGCAAGTGACGGGAGAAGGTTGGATGGGAATTGCCTCAATGCAAGTTGTTATGAGAAAGTGGAGTGCAGGGAGTGAAGATGTAATTAGTTGTTGAGTAAGAGTGGGTGTCTGGAGGAGGGAGCAGAAGGGGACGGACATGGGCTGGCAGAAGAGATGAATGGGAAGAAGAATGACGAGTCAACTAGAGCGGAGCAGAAGGGAAAGTGGAGGTGGACAAGGAGGAGGCAGAAGAGGAAGAGGAAGAAGAGGCATATGAGGATGGTCGGTTGAGACGAGCAAAGTAGGAGGTGAAGAGAGAATGAGGAAGCAATCTGAGAGATGAGAATGTGGAGAGGGGTCTACAGAGCGCTGGCATCGCATCCACGCATGTGGCATCCACGGGCATGTGACATCCACAAGCATGTGGCATCCATGGGACCATGGGTATGTGCCAGCCATGGGTATACATGTGGTGTTGCATCGAGGGAATGCTTTCCTGATCGGTACTGAATGGTGTTCATTGTTAACCTCATTTTTAAACTTTCCCCTTAGTTCTTGTTAAATGTTATTTTCTTGTCCGTTGTAATTAGAGAGCATGCATAACATGGTAGCCTTAGTCTATGATGGATTATACGCTTATAGCGTATATACGCGTGTCGTAAATACGCTAGTGTTTGCACGCTGTACGCAGGTAAAAAAAGTTCACGGGCAGGGCAAAAATACACTCCGAGAGTGCAAGGGGGGGTTCTGGTGGGATGTGCTTCTACAATTTTTTTTCCCACATTATAAAACCTTTCCACGGCCATACATAAAACATCAATGTGACTCACTACTATCTTCTGTACTCTACCACCACCACTTACCCCCTTCTTGACCCCATAGTCTCTCTACTTCTCATAATCGTCCGCCAACCCCGCCCCGCCCCGCCCAACCACGCTCACAAGGAGAAGCCGAGACGGGTTGCGAGAGAACCCTTACGGCGAGCGCCGTCAGCTGGGGCGCATCTGTCCTGTTCCACTTAAATCCCTCTGTGCAGTAGCGCCAGCCATCCCGAAACTCCCTTTGAGATCAGGGAAAGACCTCAACTGGTCCCCCAAGGTGAGCAAGTAGTCGCACTCATCACCCCCCTCCTTCCCACGGCTGCTGCTCAGGAACTTCGCATGGTTGGAGATGAAGGCCTTAAATATCCTAGTGCATTCGGCATCCCCGCCGAGTATGTCCTCCTATTGGTTGGCGGGGTTGAGGATGCGTCGTGCCACGTGCATGGCGCACGCAAAACTCCCGTCCCACCTGTTTTTCAAGATGCGGCGGATCTGCTGATTGTCATTGTTGCTCAACTGCCCCTCATCCGCGTCGACAAGGTCCCCTACATCCTCGGTGAGTTGGAGCCTAATGTCATATATGCGCCGCATCATCCCCTTAGTGCTCCCATCCGTCTCACGCATCGCAATGTAGGGGAGCTTCATGAGCTTCACGAAGAATTCTGCAGCCTTCCACCAAGCCGTCGAGTACCAGTGCGTCAAACCCCTCAGCAGCCACCTTCCGCGTCCACAGCCCACTCTTTCCACAGGTCGGAGAGCACCATCTGGGTAAGGGAGTTACAGAGCTCACACAGTCGGGACACAACTCTATACTGTGTCACGAAGCGGGTTCCTGCTTGCGTCAAGGCCTGCAACACGGTTCCCCCAACCAGATCCGGTGTCCGCAAGTACCCCTGCGTCCAGTGGCGATTGCGGACGAAGGACGTCATCTCCGCAGCCCGATCCACCACCCTTTTCGCCCACCCAAGCTTCCCCACCCCACGTCTTCTCAGAGAAGATCTAACAGGTGGGTCGCACATGGGACTTGCTGAATGTGGGGCCATTCAGCAATCAACTGCTGGCACGCTACCGCGTAATTGGAGCCCTCGTCTGTACAAAAAGCCACGATGTTCTCTGCCCCCACCTCCTCCACCCCGGGCCTCAGTAATCCCGCAATATATCCCCCTGTCTTCTCCATGTTACAGTCCACGTATTCCACCAACACGGCGCCCGCCTTGTTAACGAGGAAGACATTTGCCTGCGGCCTCCCGTTTCTGTCCGTCATCATGTCGGACACTACGGTAACTCCTGTTTTTTTCCAGCTTGCCTTGATGCCCACCGAGCGGCTTTCAATGCCCTGGCGGCAAGCTTGCACACCGGTACCGCCGGTGTACTTCTGCCCTGGAGAAACATAGCCGTGGCCGGCGCGGGCGACGTCTTTGATTGCGTTGACGAAGAGAGGATGGTCGACGATCTGCTCCAGGATGTGACATCCGGCAAACATCAGCGCAAGCGACCGATGTGCTTCGTGTTTTTCCGCTGCTGCGTCACCCTCGAGATAGTCGGTCATGCGGGCCCGCTTCCCACCGGGGTTCACCGCGGCAATCGCAGCCTCTGTGGTTCGGCGCCTCTCCTCTGCATCCGCAGCCTGCTTCTCGTACTTGGACTTCATCGCGAGGCGAGCATCAGCCGGGGCCTTCTTGCAAAGAGACACCTCCCAGCGCTTCATCTTCTTCCATGAAGTCAGGTGCTGAGCCCAACGGATGGCGGCACCTGTGAACACATTGAAGAAGAATTTGAACTCGTACTGTTGTGCCCTGCCCTCCTCCCGGTTGATGATACTGAAGTGCCTAAACACTTCGTGATCTACATTGGCAAGGTATTCCCTTGACGCAGCTGGACGAGGCCCCGAACTCTCCACAGACTGGACGAAGGCGGCGTGAGAGGTGGAGAGCTGGACATAGTTGCGAATGGATACGAAGTAGGATAGGACCGCGCTAACTAGGTAGCGGGAGTTGAAAACGAATGACATTGACATTTTGAGCAGTGGCTTAATAGCATGCAGAGTGACGGTAATGAGGGGACGAGCGGTTGGACTGAATAGATGCTGTGGTTTTGAATGTGGTGAAGTGGTGGGCTTGTTATGTGAATACGTGAAAGCGCGACTCCAGATACTTGACCGTGCCATTGTGAACATGCAAAATGTATTGGTGGAAATCGCGACTCCAGCCTGGAGCCTCCAGGACATTGAACCCACTTTCCAGCCAGGACAGACACGTGACGTGCAATCTGACTTTGCAGAAGTGCTCGTCGTGCAATTCCGCAGGTTTTGAGCTATTCGTTTTTTTTTTGGGTCGGCGGGCTGCCCTGTTCAAAAAGTGGGCTGCGTATAGCGTTTTGCGTGTACACGCTAGCGTACAAACGCTAAACGCAAAGGGTCCAAAGCGTACAATCCATCATAGGGCATTAGTTGGCACTTAACGTTGTTCCAGGTCGCGTAAACGTAGACATACGTCTAACGTTTTTGTTTCCGTACGCGTAAGTTTACGTAAACTCGGCCGGGCAGGCCACAGAAAAAAAATCCGAAACGGAAGGAATTTGACCTTACACCGGTTGAGCGCGGAGCCCTAGTATGACGACCACCACTTACTATGATGATTCTATGTGAAATTGTCAAGTTTATAGGTGACAATCATGTTCTAAAAAGCATCGTCCTGTACTACTAGCATCATTTACGCCAGACATTTGACGTAAAAGTAGAAAGAAACTAGACCTACAAACTTGTGTGCGGAATTTCTGGTTGGTGGTCTAGGGAGCTAATTCGACTACGAAACAATTTTGCCACTCCAACATTTTCCCCTCGAAATACCCTCGTAACTATTTCCTATTTACCTGAAACTACCGAACTCCTCCAAAGCCCATTCTAACAACAAAAGTTCAACGTTTCATATTCCAACTCATCTTCTCCAAGTCAAGCTCATCAACTTCTCTTTAATTACTTCCAGCCTCCATAGCCCTTTCTAATCCAACTCAACCAAGTTCCCAATCAACTTTCCTATTCATCTGCAGCCTTCACCTTAGGCACATGACTCTTCATCAATTTCCATGCGCTTTCCTTTCCTGCTCATAGATTTTATCCAAGTCATCTACCTCCTCCAATAATCCTCCTCCCATGTGCCCGAAGCACGTGCTTCCGTTTCCTAGTTATCAACGTCCACATGCCTCACATTTAATCCTTTTCTTTCCTCCTTTCTCAAGTTACCAAAGTTGTCAACTCATCATTGTTACCTTCACCTCTTCTAACAAACATAAAAAACCTTTTATCTCCACTCATTCCTTTCCAAGTCACCTAAGTTCTCATCCAACGCTACAAAGCTACAACTCCAACTTATCAAGGTCTCACATGCTCCACTACTATTCATCTCCATCAAGAATATCCACAACAAATTCTCAAGAAACTTCTTTAACGACAGCAAGCCATCTCCAAGCTTCTACATTAAGCCTGTCCAAGACTAGTTCAACCTTGTACCCCATAAACGCTTCGTTGTAGCACTCAAGTTCCATGTCTCATAAGATGCTACAATTATGCAACTCTCTTCCTAGACTACATTTGATGGTTACCATACTCATATCATGCATGCCTATGTATTCTTCATGAATCTATAATGCTTGTACTAAACCTATTTTGATTTAAGTTCATGATTTCAAAACTAGGTTGGCATAAACGCGTTTGGCGTATATACACGTTTCGTATATACGCTAGCGTTTGCACGCTATACGCTGGAGGGGTCATATCGAGGATACGCTTTTTTGGACAGGAAAAAAACTTTCTCGGGCAGGGTAAAAAACGCAGTCCTCAACATCAGGGAGGTATTCCCTGTTCGCACTAAGACATTCGTAGGATTTTACTAAGTCTGAACGGCGATTGGGGTGGGATGTGGAGCAGACACTATCGCTAGTGGGAATCGGAAGGATCGAAAGCGGGAATGTAAATTAGAATGACCAGTGGAGTTTGCTGGCTGGTAAATAGCGTGAGTGGGGTTTGTTGGGGGACATTTTTGAGAGGTTGGAGTTCGTAGATGAGATGGGTTTTAATGCGGTACTAAACAAATGTTCAATTTTGAACTCCTGCAATCTTCAAAGGCACATTCCCGCTTCCCTATACCGTCGAATTGCATTCTGACTTCGGCGAAATGCTCAGCCGGAGATTCCGCATCTTTCTGTTTACCACACGTTTTTTTTTTTTTTTTTTCAAGCAGCCCCTAAAACATTTTGACTGCGTATAGCGTTTTAGCTAGCGTATCGCGTTTTGCGTATACACGCTAGCGTATGAACGCTGTACGCTTTAGGGTCTCAGCGTATGTTCCAACTTAGTTTCAAAAATCTCTCTCATATATTCTACAGAGTAGCTACCAAGTAAAGAATAGTACATCACATAAGGAAGCTACAAGCTTGAGGAAGGTGTTAGTGTTAGCCCTCAATCTCACATTTTGTACTTGCACTTTTATATCATAGTGTAGTGTAGTTTGTACTTTGTGTTTGGTTGGATGTACACCCACATCCCAACCATACCCAAATGAAATCTCCAAGCAACCTCCAACCCACCAATTGGAGATTGCCTTGGGATTACCCCCAATCCCTACAGATTGCCCCCGATTCCCCCTCCCCATCAATTCCTCGCCCATCCTGGATGTACTTAAAGAGCTACAAGCTCATTACTAATGCATGGATTCTAAGCTCAAATTCTAACAGAAGAATCATCATCCAACCCAAGGCTTGAGGTTTCTCCCAAGTAAAGCTTTGATATTGAAGGTTTTTACCCAAGTTACTTCTACAACTACAACTTTTTTTGCTGACCATCAGCGTATACTCGCCTTTCAAAGAGCGTACTTAAACCTAAACGTATACGTAAATTGCCAACTAAGATGGCAGCAAGGCGAGATTGAGCATACAGCGTGCGTACAGCATGAGCATGCATGGCATGGCAGGTGCTCCTCCTGCGGCTTGCCCACAACGTGGTTTTGGAAGTGCAGTGAGAGTGCGCATGTGTGATTTACCAAGTATGTACGAGACGAAGACCCATAGAGCAGGAGAAATAGACTGAGGTAATGTGTGGGTCGTACAAGTGTGCGAGCTGTGTCAGCTGGGTGAGAGTGCTTGGTATGCTCCCATACAGTTGGTTGAAAGCGAGAGACCTGGTGACCATGGTGGTGAGACAGAAGGATGTTAGAGGAGCGACGAGAAGGATACAACTGGAGAACCAAGGCGGTCGGAGTACCAGGTTGGGTGAGTGAGCGATTTTTGAGATTGACGGGCTGAGCGGATACAAAACGGTGGCTCCAGGCCTGATGGTGATACGGAAAAAAATGTGCAAGGTTCAAATGTCCGATTCGCTATATTTGCACACTATTCACTTGTTGGGTCGCGTTTCGATTCATGTGCTAGGTTCGCGTTCGGCCGCCGATTGGGACAGACCAGCCCGGTTCAAATTTCAGCAAGCCACCAAAGCCTAATTGCCTGTCCCGCCCAGCTTGGGCCAAACCAAGTCCCCGCTCGCGTACAGAGGGTTAGAGGAGAGGATTAGGAGCGAATACCACACAACATCAGAAGCGATGGCTGGTGTAGATTAGTGTTCGCTTAGTTGTTTGTGATGCCCATATTTATTAATTTCGGTCATTGTCACAGTTTCTTGTTATTATCCTAAGCTGAACACGCCATAGGTTTCAGTCAGGATTCCACCCCACCTGCCCTTAACCTTCTACAGATGAGCACAGAACCATACGTAGTTGTAGTTCGGGCTCGATTTGCGCGTACTGTGCTATGTTCAACTTCTACATGCAAACCTTGAATTGAACCAATGACACGCCTACAACCGTTCGACGGCGTTCAAACAAAACCCGTTTGGGTAAGCTTTTATTTACCCTTTCTCTTGTCACCTACTACTATTACTCCCCACTACGAGGCAGGGACAAGAACTGAACCAGAACCGGCTCTCGTTTTGCTGACTCAAAGCTAAACCAATTTGGATTCAATTGGTATTTGAGCATGCAGCTTCTTGATTCGAGCCTTATGTTGTTGCTGATGCCTACTCGGAAGGCACAAACAGCACACTTGTGATAACAGAAAGAAGAACCTTTATTAGGGTAGAAAATTTCATGAATCTCCAGCACTTGCATTTGGTTTGGTCAGTGTGTCAGTTGCACACATGTCTCATATAATTTGGCTCTGATGGCCGGGCTGAATGAAATCACTGAGAACGGCGGTGGTTCAGTTTGGCCATACATGAGAACGATTATACCAAAACTTGAACTCCAATTCTTTCCTAAAACTAAATATAAAACGCTCGCGTGGACCAGAGCCGCTCGGGCTCAAGTCAAAGCACTACCCGTTCGAAGTGCTGAATTAGTTCATTGCAATGCATGACATTCACAGCTGGAACATTCAAAAGGTTTGAGTCAAACCCTGATCCGGTTCGCCTTGAATCAGAAGGCAAAAAAAGGACCCCAGTTCGGTTTCCTGCTCACCTCTGGAGTATGACAGGGTGAAAAAAGCAGGAGTATCAGAAAGGACGCAAAGCTGGAGGTAATAAATCTATAAAAATTTGTCTAATGCGAAAGAATAGAAAGGGGTTAGCAAATGAAGGGGAAGGAAGAGCAGGAACTAGCTTACAGGAATACTAGTTTTGTCATGTGACCAATCTCAGCAGGAATGGAGCCAGTGAGCTCATTGTTGTTAAGGGTCCTGCATGGAGGAACAAGGCGCGCAATTGAGGGGGAGGCAGAAGAAGTGAGCAGGATTATTTAAAAAGTCATGCCACTCACTAAATAGTGTGGGCCAAGCCAAAAAATAACACAAGGATCGTAATACGCATGAGCAGATTCCCGAGCCCAGTCCGGACCATGGCGGTTCGTCTAGACATGGTCAAAGTGACGAGTCGAGCAATACTCGACTCGTCACTGGTCTTGCTCGCCGAGCTTTTGCCTCGAGTCGAGCAAAACTCTGACGAGCAATTTCAACTTTTTGCATACTCGTGACTCG